CTCTTGCGCATATTTTTTTACATGTACGTTTGTGCATGTCCATTTGAGCGAGTGTGTTTGTGCAGGTTTGTTGATTTGTATTAATGTCCTACGATGGTAGTTTGTGTTTTCTTGATCCTTTTTGCGAATGCACTTTTGCGTGAGTACTTTTGTGCATGCTTTTGTACTTTGACTTATGTGCGTATATTTTCTAGCGAGAGATTTTGTGCACGTTTCTTCATGCGCATTCGTGTCCCCGAACTATAGCACGTATTTTCATGATCGCTTTTGAAATCCAATTTTGACCATGCCGGAGTCCGAATCCGGATACGTGACATTAGACTGTACTTGTACGCCAGCTAACAATAGCTGTCTGATGCCGCCTGAACCACTCGATTTGGAGTCCGGATGAGAAAGTTATGCTCGACTTCGTGGACACTACCGAATATGTTGAGGGAACCTCTCTTCTAATTTGATTTTATTTTCCTCATTGCAACTCTTTTCTTAATCTTTGAACATTTTTGCTTCCCGGACATCTAATTATCAATTTGTACCTATACAATACAAAATCCACCAATTAAAACAAAAATATAAATTAATCCATAAAAAAATCCACGTAAACGTAAACGTTGAGTGTTATTTCTACACTCCACTGCATGTTTTGTATTTAGGGTTTTTGTTATTGTTTGGTTATGCGTATTAAAGTCCTAGTGTTCAATTTCGTGTTTTTAAGAACGTTGTTGCAAATGTACTCTTGCGCATATTTTTTTACATGTACGTTTGTGCATGTCCATTTGAGCGAGTGTGTTTGTGCAGGTTTGTTGATTTGTATTAATGTCCTAGGATGGTAGTTTGTGTTTTCTTGATCCTTTTTGCGAATGGACTTTTGCGTGAGTACTTTTGTGCATGCTTTTGTACTTTTACTTATGTGCGTATAGTTTGTTGCGAGAGTTTTTGTGCACGTTTCTTCATGCGCATTCGTGTCCTCGAACTATAGCACGTATTTTCATGATCGCTTTTGGAATCCAATTTTGACCATGTTGGAGTCCGAATTTGGATATTTGACATTAGACTGGAATTGTAGCCAGCTAAAATAGCTTTCTAATGCCGCCGGAACCAGTCGATTTGGAGTCCGGATGAGAAAGTTATGCTCGACTTCGTGGACACTACCGAAGATGTTGAGGGATCCTCTCTTCTAATTTGATTTTATTTTCCTTATTGCAACTCTTTTCTTAATCTTTGAACATTTTTGCTTCCGGGACATCTAATTATCAATTTGTACCTATACAATACAAAATCCACCAATTAAAACAAAAATATAAATTAATCCATAAAAAAATCCACGTAAACGTAAACGTTGAGTGTTATTTCTACACTCCACTGCATGTTTTGTATTTAGGGTTTTTGCTATTGTTTGGTTATGCGTATTAAAGTCCTAGTGTTGAATTTCGTGTTTTTAAGAATGTTGTTGCAAATGTACTCTCGCGCATACTTTTTTACATCAACATACGCTCATGCCACATCTGAGCGAGCGTGTTTGTGCAGGTTTGTTGATTTGTATTAATGTCCTAGGATGGTAGTTTGTGTTTTCTTGATCCTTTTTGCGAATGGACTTTTGCGTGAGTACTTTTGTGCATGCTTTTGTACTTTTACTTATGTGCGTATAGTTTGTTGCGAGAGTTTTTGTGCACGTTTCTTCATGCGCATTCGTGTCCTCGAACTATAGCACGTATTTTCATGATCGCTTTTGGAATCCAATTTTGACCATGTTGGAGTCCGAATTTGGATATTTGACATTAGACTGTAATTGTAGCCAGCTAAAATAGCTTTCTAATGCCGCCTGAACCAGTCGATTTGGAGTCCGGATGAGAAAGTTATGCTCGACTTCGTGGACACTACCGAATATGTTGAGGGAACCTCTCTTCTAATTTGATTTTATTTTCCTAATTGCAACTCTTTTCTTAATCTTTGAACATTTTTGCTTCCCGGACATCTAATTATCAATTTGTACCTATACAATACAAAATACACCAATTAAAACAAAAATATAAATTAATCCATAAAAAAATCCACGTAAACGTAAACGTTGAGTGTTATTTCTACACTCCACTGCATGTTTTGTATTTAGGGTTTTTGCTATTGTTTGGTTATGCGTATTAAAGTCCTAGTGTTCAATTTCGTGTTTTTAAGAACGTTGTTGCAAATGTACTCTTGCGCATAATTTTTTACATGTACGTTTGTGCATGTCCATTTGAGCGAGTGTGTTTGTGCAGGTTTGTTGATTTGTATTAATGTCCTAGGATGGTAGTTTGTGTTTTCTTGATCCTTTTTGCGAATGGACTTTTGCGTGAGTACTTTTGTGCATGCTTTTGTACTTTTACTTATGTGCGTATAGTTTGTTGCGAGAGTTTTTGTGCACGTTTCTTCATGCGCATTCGTGTCCTCGAACTATAGCACGTATTTTCATGATCGCTGTTGGAATCCAATTTTGACCATGCTGGAGTCCGAATTTGGAAATTTGACATTAGACAGGAATTGTAGCCAGCTAAAATAGCTTTCTAATGCCGCCGGAACCAGTCGATTTGGAGTCCGGATGAGAAAGTTATGCTCGACTTCGTGGACACTACCGAAGATGTTGAGGGATCCTCTCTTCTAATTTGATTTTATTTTCCTAATTGCAACTCTTTTCTTAATCTTTGAACATTTTTGCTTCCGGGACATCTAATTATCAATTTGTACCTATACAATACAAAATCCACCAATTAAAACAAAAATATAAATTAATCCATAAAAAAATCCACGTAAACGTAAACGTTGAGTGTTATTTCTACACTCCACTGCATGTTTTGTATTTAGGGTTTTTGCTATTGTTTGGTTATGCGTATTAAAGTCCTAGTGTTGAATTTCGTGTTTTTAAGAACGTTGTTGCCAATGTACTCTTGCGCATATTTTTTTACATGTACGTTTGTGCATGTCCATTTGAGCGAGTGTGTTTGTGCAGGTTTGTTGATTTGTATTAATGTCCTACGATGGTAGTTTGTGTTTTCTTGATCCTTTTTGCGAATGGACTTTTGCGTGAGTACTTTTGTGCATGCTTTTGTACTTTTACTTATGTGCGTATAGTTTGTTGCGAGAGTTTTTGTGCACGTTTCTTCATGCGCATTCGTGTCCTCGAACTATAGCACGTATTTTCATGATCGCTTTTGGAATCCAATTTTGACCATGTTGGAGTCCGATATTTGGATATTTGACATTAGACTGTAATTGTAGCCAGCTAAAATAGCTTTCTAATGCCGCCTGAACCAGTCGATTTGGAGTCCGGATGAGAAAGTTATGCTCGACTTCGTGGACACTACCGAATATGTTGAGGGAACCTCTCTTCTAATTTGATTTTATTTTCCTAATTGCAACTCTTTTCTTAATCTTTGAACATTTTTGCTTCCCGGACATCTAATTATCAATTTGTAGCTATACAATACAAAATACACCAATTAAAACAAAAATATAAATTAATCCATAAAAAAATCCACGTAAACGTAAACGTTGAGTGTTATTTCTACACTCCACTGCATGTTTTGTATTTAGGGTTTTTGCTATTGTTTGGTTATGCGTATTAAAGTCCTAGTGTTCAATTTCGTGTTTTTAAGAACGTTGTTGCAAATGTACTCTTGAGCATAATTTTTTACATGTACGTTTGTGCATGTCCATTTGAGCGAGTGTGTTTGTGCAGGTTTGTTGATTTGTATTAATGTCCTAGGATGGTAGTTTGTGTTTTCTTGATCCTTTTTGCGAATGGACTTTTGCGTGAGTACTTTTGTGCATGCTTTTGTACTTTTACTTATGTGCGTATAGTTTGTTGCGAGAGTTTTTGTGCACGTTTCTTCATGCGCATTCGTGTCCTCGAACTATAGCACGTATTTTCATGATCGCTTTTGGAATCCAATTTTGACCATGTTGGAGTCCGAATTTGGATATTTGACATTAGACTGGAATTGTAGCCAGCTAAAATAGCTTTCTAATGCCGCCGGAACCAGTCGATTTGGAGTCCGGATGAGAAAGTTATGCTCGACTTCGTGGACACTACCGAAGATGTTGAGGGATCCTCTCTTCTAATTTGATTTTATTTTCCGAATTGCAACTCTTTTCTTACTCTTTGATCATTTTTGCTTCAGGGACACCTAATTATCAATTTGTACCTATAGAATACTAAATCCACCAATTATAACAGAAATATAAATTAAACCATAAATTAATCCACGTAAACTTAAACGTCGAGTGTTATTTCTAAATTCCGCTGTATCTTTTGTATCTAGTGTTTTTGCTATTGTTTGGTTATGCGTATTAAAGTCCTAGTGTTGTATTTCGTGTTTTTAAGAAGGTTGTTGCGAATGCACACTACAAGAAAAAATGGTTTTAGGGACGATTTGTTATGGTTGCTAAAAGCAAGATAATGGTCGCTGAAACTTATAACGACCAAATTAGGCTTGGTCACTTGTGGTCACAACAGGGTGGCTACT